ACACAGAGGCCTACACTCACACACACAGAGGCCTACACACACACAATGGCCTACACTCACACAGAGAGGACTACACACACAGAGGCCTACTTTCACACAGAGAGGCCTACACTCACACACACAGAGGCACACACTCACACACAGGTCTAAACTCACACACAGAGGCCTACACACACACACAATGGCCTACACTCACACAGAGAGGCCTACACACACACAATGGCCTACACTCACACACAGAGGCCTACACTTACACACAGATGCCTGCACTCACACAGAGGCCTATACACACACAGAGGCCTGCACTCACACACAGAGGCCTGCACTCACACAGAGGCCTACACACACACAGAGGCCTATACACACACAGAGGCCTACACACACACACACACAGGCCTGCACTCACACACACAGGCCTGCACTCACACACAGAGGCCTGCACTCACACACAGAGGCCTACACACACAGAGGCCTGCACTCACACAGAGAGGCCTACACTCACACAGAGAGGCCTGCACTCATATACAGAGAGGCCTACACTCACACACACAGAGGCCTACACTCACACACACAGAGGCCTACACACACACAATGGCCTACACTCACACAGAGAGGACTACACACACAGAGGCCTACTTTCACACAGAGAGGCCTACACTCACACACACAGAGGCACACACTCACACACAGGTCTAAACTCACACACAGAGGCCTACACACACACACAATGGCCTACACTCACACAGAGAGGCCTACACACACACAATGGCCTACACTCACACACAGAGGCCTACACTTACACACAGATGCCTGCACTCACACAGAGGCCTGCACTCACACACAGAGGCCTGCACTCACACACAGAGGCCTGCACTCACACACAGAGGCCTGCACTCACACACAGAGGCACACTCACACACAGAGGCCTACACACACAGAGGCCTGCACTCACACAGAGAGGCCTGCACTCACACAGAGAGGCCTACACTCACACAGAGAGGCCTGCACTCATATACAGAGAGGCCTACACTCACACACACAGAGGCCTACACTCACACACACAGAGGCCTACACACACACAATGGCCTACACTCACACAGAGAGGACTACACACACAGAGGTCTACTTTCACACAGAGAGGCCTACACTCACACACACAGAGGCACACACTCACACACAGGTCTAAACTCACACACAGAGGCCTACACACACACACAATGGCCTACACTCACACAGAGAGGCCTACACACACACAATGGCCTACACTCACACACAGAGGCCTACACTTACACACAGATGCCTGCACTCACACAGAGGCCTGCACTCACACACAGAGGCCTGCACTCACACACAGAGGCCTGCACTCACACACAGAGGCACACACTCACACAGAGGCCTGCACTCACACAGAGAGGCCTATACTCACACAGAGAGGCCTATACACACACAGAGGCCTGCACTCACACACAGAGGCCTGCACTCACACACAGAGGCCCGCACTCACACAGAGGCCCGCACTCACACAGAGGCCCGCACTCACACACAGAGGCCTGCACTCACACACAGAGGCCTATACACACACACAGAGGCCTATACACACACAGAGGCCTGCACTCACACACAGAGGCCTGCACTCACACACAGAGGCACACACTCACACAGAGGCCTGCACTCACACAGAGGCCTGCACTCACACACAGAGGCCTACACTCACACACAGATGCCTATACACACACAGAGGCCTACACACACACACACACAGAGGCCTATACACACACAGAGGCCTACACACACACACAGAGGCCTATACACACACACACAGAGAGGCCTACACTCACACACACAGAGGCCTACACACACACACAGAGGCCTGCACTCACACACAGAGGCCTACACTCTCACACACAGAGGCCTACACACACACACAGAGGCCTACACTCACACACAGAGGCCTGCACTCACACAGAGAGGCCTACACACTCACACACAGAGGCCTGCACTCACACAAAGAGGCCTACACTCACAGACAGAGGCCTGCACTCACACACAGAGGCCTGCACTCACACAGAGGGGCCTGCACTCACACAGAGAGGCCTGCACTCACACAGAGAGACCTACACTCATTCACAGAGGCCTACACTCACACACAGAGGCCTACACTCACACACAGAGGCCTGCACTCACACACAGAGGCCTGCACTCACACAGAGAGGCCTGCACTCACACACAGAGAGGCCTACACTCACACACAGAGAGGCCTACACTCACACACAGAGGCCTACACTCACACAGAGAGGCCTACATACACACACACAGAGGCCTGCACTCACATACAGAGGCCTGCACTCACACAGAGAGGCCTGCACTCACACACAGAGAGGCCTGCACTCACACACAGAGAGGCCTGCACTCACACACAGAGGCCTACACTCACACACAGAGGCCTACACTCACACAGAGAGGCCTGCACTCACACACAGAGAGGCCTACACTCACACACAGAGGCCTACACTCACACACAGAGGCCTGCACTCACACACAGAGGCCTGCACTCACACACAGAGAGGCCTGCACTCACACAGAGAGGCCTGCACTCACACAGAGAGGCCTGCACTCACACACAGAGAGGCCTACACTCACACACAGAGGCCTACACTCACACAGAGAGGCCTACACTCACACACAGACGCCTACACACACACACACAGAGGCCTACACTCACACACAGAGGCCTACACTCACACACAGAGGCCTACACTCACACACAGATGCCTACACACACACACACACACACAGAGGCCTACACTCACACAGAGAGGCCTACACACTCACACACAGAGAGATCCACACTCACAGAGAGAGAGAGAGAACCAACACAACATAGTGTAATTAACTATCAACCATTAATGTGAATGGTTGAAGCAAATGAGTTAGCATAGTTCAGGTATTAGCACAAGTATCTGATCCTTGTGTTGAGAAACTTTGTCACCGTTCAGTGTAGCACGCTTTGTCTATCATTACTGTACTTGCTTGAGAAACCTCACCATGTGGCTAATAAGCTTGGCTAATCAACTATCCAAGCCTAACCAAACCAGTTTTTTACAGTTCCAAGTTCTTCTTCTTATTGCTGCTGTTGGAACAAGGCCTTGTATCTCCAAAAAGGCAACTTTACAGGAGAAGAAAAATTGTTCTTAACTTTAATAGAAGAGAAATGATAGAAAAATGATGTATTCCACGTAATTTTGAGCCATTTCTACTTGTCCATTCATCATAAAATTAATAAAAAGACCTGGTATCATATTAGTATCAGTAGGAAAAAGTGCTGTCAGTGCATCCCTTGTTTTCACATAGATCATTCCTAATTTGCAGCATGATATATTTATTATTCATAATTTTAAAATCTTAAATAGGTAATCTAAATGTTTGGATTTTTAGAATGTTTGTTGCTAGCAGGTGGAGTAGTGGAGCAGCCTTGGGAGAATCAACAAGTTTGTCAATATGTTCGAGACATAACAATGTCAAAGTCCCAACAAAGGCCATTTTTTTTGTTCTGAGGATCATAAGGTCATAGTTACACTACTACCATCAGCAGCAGACACTGACCCATAGTTTCCACAGCAGAATATGAAGCCTTTGCTAAAGACACCTACATATACATATGAGACTTGCGGTTCATGTTCACCCAGAAGCAACGCAACATAAAGCAATGACATCACACAGAGCCTCTACTGTTACTCACAGCTTCACACTCTGATGGTTGAAACTATAAGATGACGTTTTTAAATAAAAGCACTGGGAAATCTTGAAGAGCAAAGATTTTCTTCGGTTTCCAGCTCAGCTTCTTAGAAGTCCATTACCAGTCAGCCTGACCAACCTACCTGACTGACCAAGACAGAGACCTGAAAAGCAAACACACCATCTGGTTTAACAGATGATGCAGGACCCAGAAGAGGCTAAGCGTGACCCAGGGCATCTTTCACTCTTCTTTAAAATTAAACTATAAGTGTTAAAAAGAGGATTAAAATAAATATCAGTAACTGCGTTTAAATGCACTTAATAATCTGATAACTGCAGAAAATCAGATTTTGTCAGTCCGAGCTACATGTTTGCATGCACTTGAGTAATCAGACAATAGGAAACTCCAGGTCTACATGAGCCAGACAGTAACTGGACTTCTGATTTGCAACCAGCCAGTAAACTCACCGAAGAAGGCGTGTTTTTTTTATTTTTTTATTTTTTATCAAAACACTTCACCTTAAAAATATGAACAAACATCATGTAGAAGATGAAGAATATTTGAATCCTTCATTTTGTCAAGCATGTAGTTGGTTACAGTTTCGCTCCAGAAGCATTTTCTCCCCAAAAGTGTCTCGCAGCAATGCCGCTTGCTTATCTACGGTAACGCAGTCTGTTTTTGCACATGCGCAGACTGAGAAATCTGAAAGAAATCAGAGTAAGAGTTTACATGCACTGAGAAATCTGATTTACTTAGCTAAAATCCAGCTCTCTTTATCAGATTTCTTAATCAGATTCCTAGATCTTACTCAGATCTAAGAAATTGGAGTATGCTGTTTACATGACATTTGAATAATCAGATAACTGCAGAAATTTGACTATGATCGGATTATTGAGTGCATGTCAGCACACTCAGTGATGCTACAGTTATCTGTGGCAAGACAGTATATTTGGCTTCGTTCTCTCAGGGTGGGTGGGACGGCCCTCCATCTTGTGGTCTTAAATAAAGACACAAAAAGGATTAGACTGTAAGCTAAAAGAGAGAAGAGTGATGACAGCATGCAGAATGCACAAATGTGCCTTCCGGGTCTCTGCTTGTGCAATCATATATACAAGTGTAGAGCGAGTAAGAGTGAGCAGAGTAGTGATCAAGTAGTGACTCACTTACTACTTGATAGAGTGACCTGCTTGGTCATTTATTTTAGTCAGGATTCATTCTTTGATTCTTCATCAGTCAGATTTTGCCTTAGTCTGTTATTTTCTAGACCACAGATGAATCAGCAGTGTGACGGGTGAAGCTGTCATGTTTTCCAAAACATCAGGAAATATCACAGCAGCAGTGATCCTCATATTACTGACAGGTAAATTTGTATGTTTTTTTTTAAATATTAATTTGTGTGAACTTAGATGTGTACAAGCTAGAAAAGGCCTTCAACATGTCCTGTCATTAATTTCACTGGCTAGATCAGCAGTAATCAAATCCAGAGATTTCAGTTTCCCTACAATAAACCTGGCAGTTAACTGAGTTGAATCAGGTGTGTCTGAGCAGAGAAACCTCTAGAACTGAAGCAGGAAAGCTGGACACTGGAGCTCCAGCACTAGGACTGAATACATCTGAACTATATTATTTACAAACCTGCTTATAAAAATACATGTGATTGTACAAGTGATCAATAAATACACCATTTAATGATCTGTTAAAGTTTTGTGAATTTAAATTAGTCATTATCTGTGTCTGTACATTCTAAACTGTACAAAGCTTGATATGAAGCTGAGGTCACTTCCTCTGTGGTTTTCACACCACCAGCCAACTTCACTAACCCTTGTGTTGCTCATAGCAACAGCAGTAGTTCACACTTTGGTCACTCTGTCAGTTAGAGCACGAGAGTTTCCCTCTCATTCCCACCTCACAACTTGTGCTCCTTGTGTGTGTGTGTGTGTGTGTGTGTGTGTGTGTGTGTGTTTCAGGAGTTCAGGCTCAGCACAGTGTAACTCTCTCCTCTCAGAGTCTCTGTGCTGCTACTGGATCTACAGTAAAAATCTCCTGTAAATATACAACAGCTGATTCCTCCAGAGTCAGAGAGAGAGAGTGGTATCAGCTCCAGAACTCTGATGGAGAAGAACGAGTCCTGAGTAAAGACCCTCAATACTCAGCACGAGTTTCTGTAAGAACAGAGCAGAATGACTGTGATCTGACAGTGAGGGATGTGAGAGTGAGAGACTCTGGAGTTTATAACTTCAGATTTAGAACATCAAGCAGTGACTGGATATCAGCTTCATCTGGAGTTAATCTGACTGTTACAGGTAAATAAACACACACTGATACAGAGTCTGTGTTTTCAAACAAAACATACTGTTAAAAAAAACTGAAAACAAGGCTCTCAGTTTTCCCCCTTTTTTTGTCTGATCTGTACAATGTATGAAAATGTCATGATGAATGGGCCAATAGAAATGCATTACTTGGGGTGCGGGACTAATTTTCAGTGTCGGCGCGGGAGCAGGTGGGAAACCAGCCCACCTTTTTTGAGTGGTCAAAAGGAGACAGTGAAGAGTGACACTTCAATCCGCATATAAGGCGAAAGATAGGTAAAATAAAGTGAATAAGACGAGAGAGAGAGAGAGAGAGAGAGAGAGAGAAAGCATGCCAGAGAGAGAGAGAGGAAAAAAAAAACAAAAACGTAACACTGGTTTAATTCCTGCTTTGTGTTTACTGGTAATAAATGGCGTTTGGTGAAATTACTTTAAGGTGAGCCTGATGACCATGACTGCTGTGTTATTTCAGCAGAGAATAATGTATTTGTGAACAGACTGTGTCAGATACTGAATGTCAGTTCGCCTTGGTGGAACTGCTTGGGTGAGAGCAGGTCAAAACGTTTCGGGCGCAGGCGGGAGCGGGACAAATGATTCAGATTTTCTGTGGGAGTGAGTGGGAGCGGGATGAAATCTTATGGGAGTGGGTGAGAGTGGGACTGAAAAAACAGTCCCACGCAGACCTCTACTGCTTTCTAATGTAATGCTAAATGCTAATGCTGATACAGACCACAGAGAGACAACAAAAGAAGCTAGATATTAGCTGCACTCTTAATAGCTTAGCTGTGGCTTTGAGTTTAACCCTGTTTAAATCTGAATGAATCACATGGATTTTTAAACTCTATTCCCGTGTTGCTGGAAGCTGCAGTTCAAAGCTCACCTACAGTCTGAACTAAACCCAGTTGCTGTATCATTTAAAAACCACACATCTGTCACTAGATGGTGCTGTATATCAGGCTTAACTTAGGTTTATCTTAAACCTACTACAGACATGGTTTTACTGAGCTTTAAGTAAAGATTTTTGTAACCGAAGCACAATTTCAGCTCAGATGTTTTAATATTCTATACCTAGAGGCCTATCTACCATCCGTCATGGTATGTTTTAATTTAATGTAATGTAATGTAATATCACTCAGACACACACTGAGGTACCACCTTATTTTCTTAAACTGGTCCAGAGAGAGTCTATAAATTATCAAGAGTGTTTGGGAAGGTCCGTCCCGTTAAAATACAATACTGTTATTTATTATAATTTTTTAAGATGGTTAATATATAAATAAAGCCGGAATGTATATAGGATAATGTCTGCAGCTGTTGAAGAAATAAATTCCGTTCATTATCAACATTATGATTAGGGTTAGGTATTGGTATTGGATTAGGATTAGGATTAGGATTAGGGTTAGATTTCAAGATCAGTTGCGTCTCATAGATATTTAGTGGAATGTTAGACAGACTGAGCATCTACAATGCAGACCTGCCAACCTTTGGAAAATATTTTGCACAGCACAATAGTGTAACACTCAAAAAACAAACAAACAAAAAAAAACACTTTGTTTAGCACACGGCCATTTCCCCACTCACCACCAAATCATCAAGTTTGGTTGTTCAACAGGGTCTGCTGCTCTCTCTCTCCCACATCAGCGTCCTCCTCACCTAACGTCATGTTTATTTTAACTGTAAATGCCAATTTAAAGTCCACACGATAAAATTTGTGTCTGCTAGGGTGTAGCGGACCTTCTTGCGTACATCAAGCAATTTAAAAAGGCGCAGACGTAGCCGCACAGTCTGACTAGATAGAAACTCACTTCTGTGTTCTAGAGTGTTGCCATGGTCACGGTTTACTTTTGTACTGCTCTGTTACTGAATGTGTGGATGGGCAGTGTGGGCAAGCTGTAGCAGCACCCCACAGAAACAGAAGGGTTTGCCAGCTATTCAAAACTAGGATCAATATACATTTATAAGACGATTCTTTGAGTTCAAACCTTTTTCCACGGCTGCAGTTCATGTAGAAAGATGTCCAAACAGAAAATGTACACCAGCTAGCGCTATGATTGGTTGAACTCTTCTTCTTCTTTTGTTTTCGGAAGGCTAGACGTTGCTGCCTCTTGCTATTATATCTGAGTGCTGCAGATGCACAACTGAACTCTCAGACTTTGCCAGCTTTTTGCTTAGAGTGAGAAATAGTATCAGCATACTTTGATGTCAAAATGCATACCTGCTATGCAAAATGTGTAAAGGTTGGCAGGTCTGACAGTGGACCACTAAAATAAAACATTACTGTTATATCTTTTTGATCCTACATGAATGACCATCTCCCTGTTGTTTAATTGCAGTTGACACTTGTGTAAGAACTGCTGTGCAGCTGATGGTGGTTTGGCAAAACTATGTATGTATGTATGTAATGTATGTTTGTAGATTTGCAGGTGAAGGTGGATCATAAGACTGCAGGACGGAGAAAGATAAAAGTGACCTGTAGCTCCACCTGCAGCCTCAGTGGAAACTTTAACTACCACTGGTACAGAAATGGAGAATACAAGACATATACAGATGTAGCCTACACTGTGCTGGACTCTACCAATTCATCTCATGAGGGCAGCTACTACTGTGGGTTGTATGACAGCAGCGATAAGTGGCATCAGTCTCGTTCAGTGTGTAAGTGTCAGTCACTAAATCTCAGATCACTCAGACTCCATATTCTGGTGTGCCTTTCAGGTGTAGCTACATGCTAAAATTTCTGTATTGTTCATTTTTTTTATTTACTTTGATTTTTAGGCAATGATCAGGAAAACTGTTGTAACCTAATGCAGCATTAAAGCTAAACAGAACTTACAGACATTAAACACAACAAGCATAATGATTGTATGAAATAAAAATTTATCTGTATCTGCTTTCATTTACTTTTCCTGTAGAGTTCATCATCTGAGTTCCATCTTGCTGACTGTGTGTGTTTCAGGTGTTTTGGGTAAAGAGTGTTGGGGTGTGACTTACACTCCTGAACATGTGTGTGCTCTGAAAGGATCATCAGTTGATCTCTCCTGCTCTTATAAACACCCTGGAGGACACACAGTGACTAAATCAGTGTGGTTCATTAAAGAGCAGGCTGGTGCTGAGCCTGTGGATGTGAGAGAGGATGAGGAGTATCAGGGACGAGTGCAGTACAGACAGAGCTTCCAGAATGACTGTAGTATGAGAATCACTCACCTGAGAGAGAGTGACGCTCAAACATACAGATTCAGATTCTACACTGGTGGAGGTGAATACACTGGACAACCTGGAGTCACTCTGTCTGTCACAGGTAGAGCCGCATAACATCAAATTAGATTAGTTAACTATAAAACTACAGCATCAATTTAAAATACGATAAACCTTGTTTTAAAACAAACCCTGCAGATCTGGAGGTAACAGTGTCAGAGATGCATCAGGGGAGAAAGGTACTGAGATGTAGCAGCAACTGCACTCTGCCCCACAACCCAGCTTACATCTGGTACAAGAATGGACAGCCTGTTTCTAATCAGTATAGTAATGAACTGTATCTGACTGACAGAACTGTGGAGGCAGGCAGCTACTCCTGCGCTGTAAGAGGACACGAGAAGCTCCGCTCACCTGCTGTCTGTAAGAACGTCAGTTTAAACTTCACTCACTCTGTCATCATCTCAGTCTGTAGGATTACAGTTACACATAGTGAAGAGTTACCGATGTTAAAGTGTGGAAAACACTATGTATGATATTTCATTCATCTAACAAGTTTGCCTAAAAGTTGGAACAGAAATGTTCTGATTGTTATTTATAGGCTCTCATCAACTTTGCCTTTACAAGAAGTCTCTATTTTTATGAAGCATGCAGTTGGCCAGTGTTCTAGAAATATTAAAGATGTATTCAGTGTGCTCAGGAAACCTCACTGACACATCATTTTTGCAATGACAGATCACCATATTGCCCACCACTCTCAGCATATTTGATGTAACTGAGTTGAGTGTTTGGGTATTTATTTAATTGAGTTTGTGTTTCACATTATTCTTTAATTCACTTTGTGTGATTCAAAAGTTTTCACTATGTTTTTGTGTTTCAGGTGTTTTTGATCAGAACAGCTGCTGGAGTGTGTCTTACTCCACCCAGAATATCTGTGCTCTCATTGGCTCATCAGTGGACATCCACAGTTACTACACCTTCCCTGGTGAGCAGCTTGACCCCCAGCCTGCCTGGTACATCAGACTCCTCCCACAGGACAAAGAGCTGAGTCCTGCAGACGGCAGAGTGGAGTTTTTCAGTAACAGAGTTAATATGAACACATTGAGAATGAAACATCTCAGAGAGAGTGACTCAGCGGAATATCTCCTCCGATTTAAAGCTCCCTACTGGAATCACACACACAACCCTGCTGGGGTCTCTCTCTCTGTCACAGGTAGGAGATGTGTGCTCTGATTCTGCTTGTGTCTCAGTGTTTACGGTCTGTGTGAGCTCTAAAGACACTGATGGGGATCTGTTACAGGCCTGCAGGTGAAAGTGGAACCTGTTCCAGTCACAGTGTCAGAGGAACAGACAGTAACACTGATGTGTAGCAGCACCTGCACTCTTTCCAACAACCCCACTTACATCTGGTACAAGAACAGACAGCCTGTGATTCACTGCAAATCTGCCTCCTGCTCTGTAGCTGTGGTCAGTGTTGAGGTCAGCTACAGCTGTGCTGTTGAAGGCCATGAGAACCTCCACTCTCCTCCAGTGTGTAAGTGTGCAGTTTTACTCAATCTTCTGCAGTACATTATCATATACAGTAATGCTTCAATTTACAAATACAGTAGTGAGATTTATTTAGAAATGAACGTGAATTACTCCTGATCAGTGACAAGGCAACTTAATAAATAAAAATGTGTTGGTACTATAATATCTCAGCCAATATATGTTACACCTTTCCAATCAGATTCTCCAAGAAACACCAGAGCAGTGATTGTTTCCTCTGGAGAGATAGTGGAGGGAGATTCAGTGACTCTGAGCTGCAGCAGTGATGCAAACCCTCCTATTCTCATCTACTCCTGGTTTAAGCAGAGAGCAGCTGCAGATGCACCACTGACAACAGGCCAGAACTACACCATCACCAACATCAGCTCCCAGCACAGTGGACTCTACTACTGCACTGCTCACAACCAGCTAGGACTGCACAGCTCAACACCCACCAGTCTGGATGTGTTACGTAAGTACTTTAAAGGAATTCAATAACTAGGATGTTTAACTGTTATAAGGGGCCAATTTCCCTCTAATCAGAATAAAACAGGAATGATGTTTCTTATAAACTACTGTTTCTAATAATGTTTCTCATTCAGTACAGTTTATCTAATCAGTGTAAAAACTGGAGACCTCTTTTATCCTTTGTATTAAATAGACTGGATGCACATGTTCCCCACATCAGCCAGTAAGACTGTAAAAGACTGTAATGAGTTTAAAATGTTCAACATTTCAGTCCTTGTTCAGTACTACACTGTGTGTGTGTGTGTGTGTGTGTGTGTGTGTGTGTGTGTGGACTCAGCTGAGTTGTGGAAGCTGAATGCTGTTTGGGGAGCTGTTGGAGTCGTTCCTGTTCTGGCTCTCTCTCTTCTTACTGCTGTTCTGTGCATTAAGTGAGTGACTGTATTCTTTAGATTTTACTCTGAATATCTGAACCTTTCATTAAATATCAGATTAAAACATCAACTTTAGACTCAAATAGAAGCTCTTATGCTGGATGTCTTCATTAAATGTAATTTGTGTGATCAGGAGGAAGAGAGGAGCAGAGAGAGACACAGATATTCAGGTACTGAGAGAGGATTTCACTCTTTCTCTGTCTACATACTCCTGTAAAGCTGCTACTGAATAAAGACTGAAGTTGTTCTCCTCATCTCTCTAAAAGACTCCAGATCCTGCAGACCACACATACACAGCTCTGAATCCCACCACCATGACCTCAGATTATGACACTCTACAAGTAAGTCTGCGGTCTTTATACTTCTGTGTGTGTGTGTGTGTGTGTGTGTGTGTGTGTGTTACCCTGCAGAGTGTGTTTAGTTGTGTAAGTTTTCATTTTTGTCTTCAGCATCTTACAGACTCTCCCAGTGACACGTACTCAACACTAAACCCTGAAACCATGAGCTCTGATTACGACACTCTGACAGTAAGTCTGCAGTGGGAGAGTTTCTTTCTCATGTTTGTGAATGTGTGAGTTTGTTTGTGTTTGTGTATTTACTAGTTGGAATATATAATAGTTTCTGTCATTTGATTTTTTTCAGGCTGTTCATCCTCACAGAGAGAAGAGAAGAGCTCCAGAGATGAAGAATGAAAACTTTTACGGAGATTATAACAAGCCAGATACTGTCTTAAAGTAATATTTGTCACCTGAGTTACTTTTATTTCTTAAGTATCTTTTTCCTGTGTTGTACAAATTCACATAATAATAAGCCAGAATCAGGCAGTTCTGCCAATTCTGTCAATAGATTTGGATGCTTTGGGCCATGTATGGATATAGGAGATATATCAGTGTTTACCACTTAGTTTATTTGTATATTCATATGTTTTATCAAAAACTGCAGAGTTCACTGTTTTCCCTCTTTAACACTGTGTAGTGCTGTGGTTCTCCAGGACTGGAGTCTCCCTGTTTTTAAATCATATCATTTTTGTTTTGGTTTTTTTCATTATTATTCTGGTTATTTTTCATTATTATTCTGAATAGTGTGGTATGAGAACACATTGAAATAAAGCTTTGAAGCAGCTTTTAGATTCTGTTTTTAGTTGTTGTTTATTCATGTTTAGTTCACTTTGCAGCCTCTGCTCTTCTACAAGATTGCAGTGACAGCAGGGAGGGGAAGAGACCAGAGCTGAAAGATGAATTTTTAGATCTGGGTCTTGCTTTGAGACGGTCATTCAGGTGATTAATTGTCAGGGACAAAAATGTGAAGAGATGAGCTTAAACTGCGATAATGAATTTATTTATTTATTTATAAAAGATTCATTTGAACTATAAACAAGCTGAGTTTGAACTAAAGCACTTTAGAATCAGTACAGATGATTTGGCTTGATTTGCTCACTGGGGGCAGCGGTGTGTGTGCTGAAGTTCACAGTAGCGTGCTGTAGTGGACACCACCTGGTCACTTTACAAAACAGCTTTGTTTACAAGACCTCTCCCTGAGCCCTGAAAGCTAATAGCTTTGGCAACACAGAGTCACATGTTAAGATATTCACTCCAAATGTTAATTACTCATCCTGGTTTGTCACCAGAAGATCGGACATACTAAAAACAAGGTTGTGTCATATCGTTATGAATCTATCAATTTAACAATGTCATTGATGTTCCAAACATGGATCCATAGCTCCATCAAGTGGCTGAAATAAGACATGCCAAACTGTCACAAAGAGAAGTCCAGCCTGCTGTCACCCAACCTGCCACCTCACCCTCCACCATGAAATGCAAGCTGCCTGGTTGCTGACTGAGGGCTCTTCGAAAATCTGCCTGCCCCGCAGGACCACGCAGAGCACACCCACAATGCAAGAATGTCCAAAGACCCATCCTACACTACCGAAGGTCCAGTTCATCTTCTCAACAAAAGTAAGGTCGTGGTTTCGCTTTCTTACGCTCAGGTTTTGACACTGTTTGATTTTATAGATTTACACCCCTTTTATAGATATACATACATATATTAGCGCACTTTAGGCTTCACTTACCTTCATGCTCAAAGTTTCTGAGTCGCCCTTAAGGAGTGCCTTAAGCCGTAGTGCTTAACACCATTACAGTGATTGATCACATTATCAAGTTAATCAACTATAACATTTAAAAATGCAGGTTGAATCTTGTTTGATATTTAGCCCAATAAATTGCCTTTTGATTGAAGCATCTTTAGTGTGAGCGTGTTTCCTCTCCTCCTGTGGTCTGTTTGGGATTGATGACCTGGGTTACCCTGGAGTCTCATTTGAGGTCACAATAATGAAACTGCTTGTTTTCTCTGCACTACTGAACACTGAGAGAGATAAATAACATTATATGAATGAAATTATATCCGAACCTTCTCTCTACCCACGCTGACCTATCCACTCTCCTCAGAGCTCCTGTGGACTTTAGCTGAGCTGCGGTTTCTCCTCCTGAGAGACAAACAAACAGCACATTAATTAAAGAGGATAAAACTCGGTTCAGTGCAGCTCATGTTGAACATCTTCACTGATCACACAGCTCGTCCACAGAGCTGCTGTGATGAGTGTTAGAGCCAGAAAGACTGAAACTCCCACAAATAAGCTGCAGTATAAATTACAGATATGTGATTCATTTATGCTCTCTGTGCTCATCATGAACACATTCAATAATTCATTCCAGAGCAGCATCACTGTGAGCTCTTACAGAGAATCTAAAGTGACAGTTCTGCCAACAGACTGATGTTCTGTAATAACAGCATTTGCTCATTGCAGCCATCCAGTGACTAAATGATGTTATTACACCTACAACGACCATTTCAGATCTACAAAAAAACTAGTTTATACAGGTTCCTCATAAACTTTGGACAATAATTCTGTCACGCTTAGGTTTGTTTTTCACTTTCTCTTTTCAGACTTACTGTCCTGAACAGTAATCTGACCAGACTGTGAGTGGAGGATTAATTTGTCAGACAAAATAGAAATTTATTAGACTATTTTTTAGAAAACATTAAATCCTCTGTTCATCTGTTTAGTTCATTATTACGGTTTGTGCTGCATTAAAATAGCTCACATTTCCAAAAAGTCACATTTTTCAAACTGTATAAATAAATAAAGAAAAAAAGAATAAAATGACCAGCTATGGTCAGTAAGCAGTGATGGAGTTCAGCACACTGGACAGCTCCAGGAGAGTGACTTAACACAGAAAAATGATCCAGAGTTGACTTTAACATTGATCCCCAACAAATCAACAGACGCTCCTTTGAGGGACTTTATAGGTGGAGTGATTAAACGGTATTCAGAGGTGAAAATATATTTAATATTAATGTTTCAGGAACTGAATGTTGGTTTTAGAAACACTAGATTGTTCCATAAACAAATCTTTACACATGTGTTTCATTATGATTTATTAAATATGAGTTTTATGCAGAGTTTTGTCTTAAACTGTAATTAAAATGATTGTCGGTGTAATAACATCATTTAGTCACTGGATGGCAGCAGTGAGTGTGCGCACACTGAACTCTCAGATTTCAGTTATATTATTACTTGTTAAGAAATTTTTCTTTTTCTTTTTTCATTCTCCTCCTTTTTATTCCTTATTAGCTTATAAATGTTATGATAGTGTCATGTTTGAGGACTTCTGGTTATTCCCCTAATAATTATAGACATAATTGACCAAAGTGAAGAAAAATATCTGGTAAAGGATGTTAGATTACTGACAGAGCTAACTTAGAGATTGGAATTTAGCTAATTATCTGCTAATTAAACTAATATCTAATGACTATCTGCTAATAAAACAGTGTGATGGGTAAATCAACCTGTCTGTATGTCTAAAAAGCACTGACAGACCCTCTCAGCACAGATTTCTCTCTTTATCCTTCTCTTTCTACCTGCATTCGTCTGTGTGATGGAGCAGCACTGCAGTTAACAGTGAGACCTGCAGACGGACACTTTGATGACCGTCCACACGGACTGGTTAGCTTTATTAGCATTAATAGCTAAAGCTAATCTCACTGCATCAGTTTTAGTGCAGTGACTATGAGAGAATATTGTGTTGTTAAAGTGATTTGACATGTTGTTACTTTATCATGTTCTGTTTCATTTCTATACAGATAAACTACATTAGCTGTTCAGTTGTTTATCTCCCTCTTTACTCTTTAGTCCACACTGTGAAGAACTACAACACTGAAAAAACACAAGTAAACAAACTGTATAAGATAATAATTTATTGTGTAAAAAAGATAAATAGCTCTCTGCATAAAAAATGACTTTTGGTAAAAAATGTTTCATTTTAATAGTTAATAAACTTATGAACAACAGAAACTCTTTTAAGAAGTAAATAAACACATGAACTGGTATTGTTTATAGGCGTCTAAGATTCTTGTTTTGTTATTTATGTTTTCACGTATTCGTTTATTTTTACAAAGCTGTAGAACTTTGGATCATGTATTTAGTGAGTCTGTAAATTTAATCATTGTTCTCATTTCAGTTTAATTCAAGACATATTTATTTATCGGTTTTTATAGCAGGCGCTGTTACAAAGCAGCTTCACAGAAAATCCATGTCCGAGCCCCAGATGATCAAACAAGTGGCAACAGTGGCAAGAAAAAACTCCCTCAGAACAAGAGAAAGAAACCTTGAGAGGAACCAAGACTCAAAAGGGGAAGGTTGACACAGAATCTCAAGATTTGATTAATAAATAATTTGATTTTAAGAACTAATTTTTAAAATAATTTTGGGGCGTCTACAGCTTTCTCATTTTAGACTCTAGAATCTATTTTTACAGTTACAAGTAACTTAAAGTTGCATAACAGTATAAACATTTTTACATTTATCTGCAACTGTATGAGGAGGAGACGACAGATCCACTGTGAGACACTGCAAATGGAAATATCTTCAAAATACATCAAAATACAAACATCCAGATCTCCTGTTACAACAAATAAAACCCAGAAACACAAAGCAAATTGAAATGAACCTTAACTTTCTCACCTCATTACACAAACATGCACAAATGCACTAAACCTGTTCCACTTTATCTGAACAGCCCCCAATAGATTATCTACAGATGTTCAAACTGTTATCAAACTACCAAACTACTGTTAACAAACTACGTGAAACTCAGTAGATTCTCAACAGTATTGGAGGGTTTTCGGACCAGGGTTAGCTTTAGGACCAAGATTGGGGTTAGATTAAGACTTTAATTTGATGCTAAGGTCAGAGTGAGGATTAGGACCAAATTTAGTTAGTGAGTTAATTTAGTTACTTAGCAGGTTCCAGTTTATTTGAGAAGCCCCCGGTAGATTATCTACAGATATTCAAATTATTATCAAACTTTGTGGTGACACAGTGTTGGGGTTAGTATTAGGATTTAGTTGCTATTTAGTTGATGCTAGATGCTTGGTGAGCATCTACAGTGGACTATCCAAATAAAGTGTTAGCACTTAACTTAGTGTAAGACTGAAGTTAACTAAGCCTAGTCTAAAACAGCTTAACTTAGTGTAAGGCAACTAGACTTAAATGGTTCCACTTTATTTGAACAGCCCCCAATAGATTATCTACAGATACTGAAATTGTTAAAGTATTTGGTGAAACTCAGTAGATTTTAAACAGTGTTGGGGTTCTCAGCATTGGTGAGCTGAAGCTCTAAGGCTGCTCCTCCTCTCTCAGAGTGGGACAGCGGAGTGTCTCCCACAGGCGCTGCTTGATCCTGAGGCCAAGCTCCAGGCTGTATGAACGGGGCTGTCCAGAGGCCGTGCTGACCATGGAATCCACCACAGAGGGGTAGATGGTCTGGTACTCCTCTATGGTGTGACCATGGATCAGCAGAGGGATGGAGCTCTCCTGCAGCGCTGCCTCCCTCTCCCTCCTCTCTGCAGTCTGAATCAAGAAGAACAACAAGAAGATTTGACACCTGTTCACTGATTCTAGAACTGAGTTACTGAATTTAATGTGCACAACTGTTCAGAAGATCAAAATCCCTTTTAATATTAATGTATTTTTATTTTATGTACAGTAAAACCTTAAGTAAAAACTATGATGTAGATTTAGTTCCTTTTAAATTTACTAAAGTAGAGAACATTAGAAGATTATTAC